AAAGCACTGGACGGTTGTTTCGTCACAGTGTGAGAATCCTCAGCATGATGCCACACGTTGGATTCTAATCCAAAACATTCAGTCTTGCGCGCAAACTCTTAATTTTTAGACCATTGAGCCGGTCGGTATCCAACGATGTTAATGTCTAACTCCAATCGATTTATGATTTACTAAAACATCCATCCATTTTCTGATGTAGATACCTGTCTCTAACTTACGCTGTTTGACTCGATTGGTCATGGATTATCACTAGAACTCCAGAAAATGCATCTTGAAGGTAGTTTATATTCATTCTATATAAACTAATTTCAATCAGCATGACTACATACGAAAAATCAAGAAATAAATGTCTACATATACAACATAGATTAACATATACACAAACAAATAAGAACTGAGCAAAGTACTCTGAACAAGTAGTAGTAGTAGAAGTAGTAGTAGTAGTAGTAGTAGTAGTAGTAGTAGTAGTAGTAGTAGTAGTAGTAGTAGTAGTAGTAGTAGTAGTAGTAGTAGTAGTAGTAGTAGTAGTAGTAGTAGTAGTAGTAGTAGTAGTAGTAGTAGTAGTAGTAGTAGTAGTAGTAGTAGTAGTAGTAGTAGTAGTAGTAGTAGTAGTAGTAGTAGTAGTAGTAGTAGTAGTAGTAGTAGTAGTAGTAGTAGTAGTAGTAGTAGTAGTAGTAGTAGTAGTAGTAGTAGTAGTAGTAGTAGTAGTAGTAGTAGTAGTAGTAGTAGTAGTAGTAGTAGTAGTAGTAGTAGTAGTAGTAGTAGTAGTAGTAGTAGTAGTAGTAGTAGTAGTAGTAGTAGTAGTAGTAGTAGTAGTAGTAGTAGTAGTAGTAGTAGTAGTAGTAGTAGTAGTAGTAGTAGTAGTAGTAGTAGTAGTAGTAGTAGTAGTAGTAGTAGTAGTAGTAGTAGTAGTAGTAGTAGTAGTAGTAGTAGTAGTAGTAGTAGTAGTAGTAGTAGTAGTAGTAGTAGTAGTAGTAGTAGTAGTAGTAGTAGTAGTAGTAGTAGTAGTAGTAGTAGTAGTAGTAGTAGTAGTAGTAGTAGTAGTAGTAGTAGTAGTAGTAGTAGTAGTAGTAGTAGTAGTAGTAGTAGTAGTAGTAGTAGTAGTAGTAGTAGTAGTAGTAGTAGTAGTAGTAGTAGTAGTAGTAGTAGTAGTAGTAGTAGTAGTAGTAGTAGTAGTAGTAGTAGTAGTAGTAGTAGTAGTAGTAGTAGTAGTAGTAGTAGTAGTAGTAGTAGTAGTAGTAGTAGTAGTAGTAGTAGTAGTAGTAGTAGTAGTAGTAGTAGTAGTAGTAGTAGTAGTAGTAGTAGTAGTAGTAGTAGTAGTAGTAGTAGTAGTAGTAGTAGTAGTAGTAGTAGTAGTAGTAGTAGTAGTAGTAGTAGTAGTAGTAGTAGTAGTAGTAGTAGTAGTAGTAGTAGTAGTAGTAGTAGTAGTAGTAGTAGTAGTAGTAGTAGTAGTAGTAGTAGTAGTAGTAGTAGTAGTAGTAGTAGTAGTAGTAGTAGTAGTAGTAGTAGTAGTAGTAGTAGTAGTAGTAGTAGTAGTAGTAGTAGTAGTAGTAGTAGTAGTAGTAGTAGTAGTAGTAGTAGTAGTAGTAGTAGTAGTAGTAGTAGTAGTAGTAGTAGTAGTAGTAGTAGTAGTAGGAAATGAGCAATCTACACTGTGTTCCATACAATTCTCTTCAACTGAATTGTCGGTTTATTCAACATGTTAATGAACATCATTATTATTATTGAATTCTCCTCATCCATATTTCAAGTGTATCAAACTTAGCTGCTGAAACTGTCATATATTATTACAAATAATTGATAAACTTTATACTTTCCAGTCTGTCTATTCTCTCTTCTACAAGTTTTCTGCGGTTGCTATCAAAATTTAGTAGTTTTAGTCATGGTCAAAGTTATTTCAACATTAGTTTGAACAGACAGAACTGTTCCTGCGTAAAACATATTGGTATGGAATCTAACGACTTTGCTGCCATACGTTATTTAATCGGCTAGATAGAAGAGTGAACGAGCAGAATATGTTAACGATCACTAATAAAAACACCATTTTAGACTAATTTGTTGACTGAAGTGTAGAGTCAGTTCATAATATACAAGACTATAAGTGAGCAAATAAAAAACTAGATACTGCTTTATTTGTTAGATGTAGTTTGTTTTATTTGGCCACTACCAGATTCACAATTCTAACATGTAATTCGTGATTCCAAAACCGCCACTTAATTCAGAGTAATATATCAAATATAACTCATTGATTTAGAAATAGATGTAATCTGTAAATTTATGTGACATAAAGGAAATAGCACGATCCTCAAATAAAACACGGAGAACACAAACCCAATCACACTTGATGGAGAAACTCTGGAAGCTGTGAAGTCTTTCACTTAACTGGGAAGCATCATCGATGAACAAGGAGGATCCGATGCAGATGTAAAGGTGAGGATTGGCAAAGCAAGAGCAGCATTCCTACAGTTGAACAACATATGGAACTCAATACAACTGTCTGCATGCCAACATCAAAGTCACGGTCTGTAATACGAACGTAAAGACAGTTCTACTGTGCGGAGCTGAAACGTGGAGAACTACTACAAACATCATCAAAAAGGTACAAGTATTTATAAGCAGTTGTCTACACAGGATATCCGCTGGACGGATATAATCAGCGACAGCTTATTGTGGGAGAGAACAAACCAGACTCCATGTGAAGAGGAAATTAGGAAAAGACGTTGGAAGTGCATAGGACACGCATTACGGAAATCACCAAACTGCATCACTCGGAATCCTAAGGGGGAAACGGAAAAGAAGATGGCCGAAGAACACACTACGTCGCGAATTGGAAGCAAACGTGAAAAGGATGAATATCAACTGGAAAGTACTGGAAAGGAGTATCCATGACAGTGTTGGATGGAGAAGGTTGATGTATGGACTATGGTCCTCATCGAGGGCCAAGTAAATAATTAATTAATTAATTAATTAATTAATTAATAAGAAGGAAAGTAAGTAAGTAAGTAAGTGTATGAATGATCTGTCAATATAGCAGCTGATTATATTAGAACTAGACTGTATAAACAGTCATATGTTTGTGGGCGACAATCAGCATCATGAAGCAGAATAAAAATTTTAATGGAAAAGTCAAGGTCAAACGTGAACAACAAGTTTTCGTCATTACTAATGATTCCATAAATCAAGTGATATGAAAAATGTGAATGACGAATGATTGACAGAATAATGAGCCTATGTTAACTAACTCAAACAAATATGTACACGGTGTGTTAACAAAATACTTGATTACGTACCCTTAGTTAGTTCAGTCCTGCTGAATACCTACTGAGTTTGTCCATGCTACTGCATTGTTTCCTAGATCTGAGATTAAAACACAACTACTTTAATTTGTAATACCACTCATTATGACAAATGTTATCGAAGGTAGCTTCAACAGTAAAATTTGTTTATGTTTACTTAAAAAGGGAATGAGTAGTGTATCATAGGTTGAAAAAATCACTGAAGTTCATTGCAATAAGGAAAATCTGAATATAAATCATAACCATGTGTGGAAAAAGTCAAACAACAGAAAACTGAATAGGTTGTGAATAATATTGTTGTGACAAAATAAATATTAGGGAAACGGTAACTTTTGGGACTATTTTACACTATATATATGTTGCATAATCATTAAATGAATGGATTATTATATATGTGCATTTCCTTTATCATAAGCTTCGGTTGGACTCATTGACTGTTCATATATGTCCCACCATGTTTTAATTGTTGTTGGTTGATTATTCATCTTATGCCACATTCTGTCACTTACAGCTTGATAATATATGTGGAGTAGGATTTTATTCCTCGGGCGTGTTGTGATCTGATGATTCCAATATAGTACCCATGATTCTTTGAAATATAGAAGCTCGTCTGCTTTGTTCTCTTACTGGGTTCAGTATCGGGATACAAGAAAGCCGTGAGTTTGTCGGACCAGTACTTACATAATTACTTACGCCTGTCACCCCTCGTGGAGGAGCATAGACCGCCCACCAGCACTCTCCATTCAACCCTGTTCTGGGCAATCCCTTCCAGTTCCTTCCAAATGCTATTCATCCTTTTCATTTCGGCATCCGATTCGCGACGTAGTGTGTTCTTCGGGCTTCTTCTTGGTGAACCAGTAGGTGTTAGATTATTCCGTCACCTCTCAAGCTTAACTGTGCCAGTTTAGCCCGATTATTGGTCAAGTCCACATCATTATTTTGTAAATGAGATGGCATACTCGAGCCAGAGACATAACTCCAGATTCTGGTTGATGAATCCACTCCAGTAGATCGATTAAGAATTTTGTAGCTAAACCAATTACATAAAAGTTTTATTAATGTAAAAGTATTTTCTCTTATTATTCCTTATTAGCATGTACAACAATGTTGTTGATGTGAATTCAACTGCTAAAACGTACTACTTACTCTATACAATGAACACAGACAATGGTTCTTTAACATTTTAAATTGTTGCACATTGAATTTATATGAAAAATTCAATATTCTCACTTCCAAAGAAAACACCTAAAACTTTGTGTAGAGTAAATTATTCAAACGCAAATCCACAAATTCAATATGGTCTATCTAACTTCAGTGATTTCATAATAAGTTGTAACTGTCATTCAGTCTCTTTGATGAGCTTTCTTTCCTCTTATCAGTATCAAAGAAATATTCACTATTAGAAATCCAATAAAATGAAGATGTAAATTGGAATTAAACCAGAGTATACGGATTTAAAAGAAACTTAAGCTGCACCATATTTATATATCAATGCTAGAGTAATCAGCTGAGTAACTGGTTGCAGCACTTTGCATACCACTTAGATAATAAATTATTTATTTCATTTTCCTTCTAAGGAAATAATTATCTGACATTGGTGTACCTGGAATAATTATTTTACAACTATTTTAGTAAATGAAATAAGTTTTAGTTTAGGTATTAATTGGTATGATCGGATCGCTGCTGGAAAAAAGAAAGCAAATCTACATCTGTATCATTTTCTTTTTATCAACGTTTTGCAATAACCACAAGTATTACGTAACATAAGCAAGTTAACAAGCATAATGATATCAATTCACGACTTTAGCTAACTGATTTATAGACAGATAATTAAAGATGACCTGATTGACTCAATAAATGTAAATGGCATTGTGTCATTTATTATTGATTAAATAATTCACACATTACACAATTAGTACAGAATAATTAAATATTGAGAAATAGCTAAGTCAAACGACCAACAATGACGACAACAACAACAACGAAAAAACATAAGAAAGCAAGATATTGATGAATGTCTTAAAGATAAGTCAAATCAAAACATGGAAAGTATTGATCATCAATGTGCTGAATGAATAACAACGACAACGACAACAACAACAACATCAAATTACACAGTATTCATCTTCTGGAACTAAAGATTTTCAAATTTTATAAAAATTAATTTGACAATCTTCTTAAACGACCAATGTAAGGTAGATAAAAGCTTCCAGTGTATAAAGTATCATCATGTTCTAGTACTTCACAAGCATTTGGTAATTCATTTTGAAAATCTTTCCAAATTTCAATTATATGTCCATTTTCATCTAAACGAATTAACATTGACGATTTTCCTTTCGGTATTAGTGTGAATGGAAGCATGGAGATAATCTGTTGCAAAGATAGAAAAAAATAATGAAATACTGAATTCTTACTTAGTTTGGTGGGAAATTGCATAGAAGTTTAATATGTGTCACTAGATTCTCTGATCTACCTCTATCATAATTCATTTTGAAGGTATTGTGAAGTTTATTTTACTTCGTAATTAGCTTCAGCTACAGATTCACATTAGTTAAGGTACCAGTGAAAACCAGGGAACATTTCTCAGTTGTTCCGTTGCAGTGTGGAAACCCTCAGCGTTTGCCCCTGCTAAGGCACCGATATAGAATCGTTTGATCCCTATTCATTTTCTCTGAAATGAGTTCTGTAGGTTTCATTGGGAATTCAAGACTGGTGGAGGTCAACCATGCCATTATGTGATTGCACTGCCATGTCATTAGTTGGTTGAATTTGAAAATGTCTACATACACTGTTCTAGGTTTACTACTCGACTGCCAAAAAATTCAAAAATGGAGTGACAATAAGATGGAGAATATTGATTATAAAAAATACAGGAATATTATTAACCGTACACTGGAAGCCAACTGACGAATACAAGGATAAGCTGGTAGATAATTGAGTAGAAGCTCAGATAGAGGCTCGTCACGAAGAGGTGATACAGGGACCCAATATCCACCACTTGGACTGGCTTTGATATTATCCGGAAAACCAGGTAGCCCATCACTGAACACGGTCACTTCACCTCCGTCCAATGGAATTCGTAAAATTTGAAGTTTCATTGTTTCAACGAGTAATATGGATTTTCCGTCACTAGAAATTTCGATTCCGTTGGGAAAGCGCAAACCATCCATTATGTAACTGTATTGACCAGGTAAATGAAAGCTCCCACCTGTTGATGAGTTTTTCCGTCAAATGTGATTGTGTTGGTGCTTCCCGTGTCGTATTCGAGTAACTCCTCCTCTGAAACTTGCCACTATGCCCAAAATTGAATTAATAGCCTGTGTTCTTTGCTCTTAAATTGGAAAGAATATAAAGGAACTGTTAATCATTCCTATTACTTCGGTAATCTATCAGATGGATTTGTTCATCCTGCTTCATCGCTGAAAAAATATTATGAAAAGGCTTGAAAGCTTTGTGAGTAACGCCGAATCAATGAATATACCTGAAAGGTAAATTGAATCATGCGGTTCACGCATCGCGTGAACTATCACTGAATGATGAAGCTAGGTTAGGGGAGGGGTTAAAAGGGCAGGGATTTATGTGGGTGGAAGAAGATAAATGACCTAACCTAGAAAAAGGTGAGAATACTGTGGCCCATGTATTGACACGGGATTTCAGATCCTCAAAATTCAATGATTACTTTCTAGATCGATTTCGTACGTGTACGTCATGTTCCAGATAATTAAGGGTGTTTTCATACTGCAGACGGTTTATTGACAATACGTTGAACATGAAGAATGGACAATGTCTAACCTTAGTCGCACTAAGTGTTGAGGACATAGCTGGTTGACCACGAGGGAGTGGTCAATGTATTCTTTGTCTGATTATTTAGTGCATATCGAATACTATAGGTCAAGTTACAATATAGCCAATAGTCTAAGTGACTCGATATCGTGTTCACTACATCGAGATGGTGTGAGGTAGTGCACAGGAAAACATCACTCTAGATTTCGTGCTGTTTAGCACATTTCAACGAGGCGTACCTGTTATCCCACAATGAGTGTCGTTCCCTTTACGTCTACAGGCACACCTTGCTGGTAAGTGCTGAATAGCATGAAACATGCATCCAGGGTTTCCTGTCAACTACTTTCAACTGATGATGTCACAGGTATTCAATGTTTGACAACGCTTATACCAGTAACACCTTCTAATATATTTCGTTCCCGCCCAGAGAAATCAAAAGACAGAGTCGAGGAGATCGGAAGAGTATATTTGGCGATGACCAATATATCGGAATTCTCTGATCTAATCTGGCTAGCGATTGCGGTTGATGTTGAGCACGGCGTTACCACACGTGATCTGGTGCGGATGCCTGACCGAGCGCCTTCAGCTAGATGAGTCCACTAAAACATATGGTTAGCATCCAATGTCGAAAACTTACAGAGCTATTTATTTTGGGGATTTATTTACCGCTAAGACGTGGCCAGCCAGAAGTTTAAACCCAACGAGTTTGTCGTTGGTAAACACTCTTCTGATAGCTTACTAAGTGTAGCAGCGTCTGGTCGTCTTTCCTTACTATTTGGGACCGAGGTACAACATAGTTACAACGAAAATTTGGACTCCTCGTAAACTGCATCGTTCTTTTCCAGCCGTCCTGGAAAAGAAAAAAGAAAGTGTAAGTGCATGTCGAAATACACTCGTATGTGCGTAAAAACACAATGTCGGCGAAAAAATGGAAAATAAACTCAAGCACACGTAATAGCGTTAAAAAAATTGTTTTTTTGTTGTTTTTTTTTAATAGAAATAAAAATATATAGGCATATTAAAATTTTTTTTTTAAAAATAATATAAAATGTCGAGAAGTGCCTTACGTGCAATGGTCGTTTAAATGTTCTGGAAATCTCACCCTTCTTCCAGAACGCGTCGTTTTAAGTTTATTTTCGGATACTGTCGAAGTATCATCGTGTGCGTTGGTTGTCGGATGAGGTATTATAAGTGTCGGAGTCGTGTCGTTCGATTGTAACGAAGGAAAATCCACGTAGATAGGATTTCCTTCTAAATACGCTGCTTTTAAGCGATCGATGCTGATGCTATCGTTGCTTCCGTTCTTATCGACTATATAGACTTAGATTCACGTTGAAGAACTTTGAAGGGTCCTTCGTGTGCTGATTCGAATGGTCGTCGATGCGAGTCTCGACGAACGAAAACGTGTGTACTATATCGTAAGTCAGGTTGAACGAAAACATCAGTTGATTGAGGTCGAGTGGAAGCAGGTTTAACTGAACGCATTGCGTTTGTAAGCCTGTTCGTGTAGGAGGTTAGATCCATGTTCATTGAAGAGGATGAAGGATCCACGAATTCTCCTGGAAGTCGAAGTGTTGTTCCATAAACGAGTTGAGCCGCAGTGTATCCAATGTCAGCTTTCACTGCATTGTGGATACCTAGTAAGACAAGTGGAAGAGCGTCAGTCCACTGTGAAAAGTTTGCAGCTGATAGCGAAGCTTTCAGTTGTCGGTGAAAGCGTTCCACCAACCCGTTTGCTTGTGGATGGTAGGCGGTCGTTCGGAAGCGAGTGATTCCTAGTAGTGTGGTCAGACGACGGAAAAGATCAGATTCAAACTGACGTCCGCGGTCTGTAGTGATGGTTGAAGGGCAACCGAAGTTTGCTACCCACCGTTCGACGAAGGTGCGGGCCGCTGTTTCAGCAGTGATGTCCTTAATAGGTACTGCTTCTGGTCATCGAGTGAAACGGTCTACGCAGGTTAAGAGATAAGAGTATCCATTTGAATCTGGTAAAGGTCCTACCAAATCCAGATGAACATGGTCGAAACGAGCATCGGGAGTTTTAAAGGAGCCTAAGGGACATTTATTGTGTCTGATGACCTTAGATTTTTGGCAGCTTACACAGGAGCGTGCCCACTCCCTCACGTCTTTATTCATTCCAGGCCAGCAAAACCTTTCTGCTATAAGTTTGATGGTTGCACGAACACCTGGATGCGAAAGTTTGTGCAATGTGTTGAAGACGTTGCTTCGATAATGTTTCGGGCAACGATTGGGCGATCCCTACCTGTAGATGCGTCACAAAGTAAGGTTTCCTTACCTGTTCCCATCTGCTTGATGCGTAGTTTAAGTGTTGTGGACGATAACTCGTGCTGAAGATCACTGTCTTCTTTTTGAAGCTCGGCGAGTTTAAGAAGGTCGATTCCTTGGAAACTGTTCAAGGAAGTTATGCGAGATAAGGCGTCTGCAACTACATTGTTTGCTCCAGAAATATGTTGAATATCTGAAGTAAACTGCGAAATGTAGTCCAGTTGTCGAGACTCACGGGGAGAGTACTTGTCAGAAGGAGAGCTTAACGAGAAAGTGAGTGGTTTATGATCCGTGAAAAGAGTGAATTCACGGCCTTCGATATAGTGTTGGAAATGTCGTACAGCACAATACATAGCTAGGAGTTCCCTACCGAATGTGCTGTACCTCGATTCGGTGTCTAGCAGCCTTCTAGAGAAAAATGCCAAGGGTTGCCAGGAGTTGTTAACCCATTGTTGTAAGACTCCTCCGATTGCCGAGTCGGATGCGTCTACTGCGATGCTAATGGGTGCTCGGGTGTCCTGATGTGCGAGCATTGTTGCTTTAGCAATCAGTTCCTTAACTGTGGAGAATGCTTTTCGTGCGGTGTCGTCCAAATTAATGGATTTCGCACTTCCACGAAGTTGGTCGGTTAGAGGTCTAATGAGTAATGCGCATTTCGGTATGAAACGTCTATAGAAACTTACGAGACCGTTAAACGTGCGTAATTGCTTGACGGTGGTCGGTTCTGGGTAATCCAGAATGGCCGCCACTTTGGTTCTAAGGGGTCGAATGCCTTGAGCATCGATAGTGTGTCCTAGGAAGTCTAACGAGTCGGTTCCGAATTGGCATTTCTGAACGTTTACAGTTATGCCATGTTTTTGAAGTCGTTCGAAAACAAGATCCAGATGCTTGAGATGTGTTTCTCTGTCCGGACTTGCGATTAGACAGTCGTCAACATACGCGTGTACGAAGTTGAGACCTCGAAAAACGTCGTCTATGAATCTTTGGAATGTTTGAGCAGCATTCCTTAGACCGAAAGGCATTCGCAAAAATTCATAGAGTCCGAAAGGAGTTATGATAGTTGTTTTCGGTATGTCGTCAGTAGCCATAGGGATTTGGTTATACGCTTTAACCAAGTCGATTTTCGAAAAGACAGTTGTACCTTTCAAGGTAGCTGTCAAATCGTGAATGTGAGGCAACGGGTAACGATCGGGAATGGTTTTCGCGTTCAATCGCCGATAGTCACCAATTGGACGCCAATCGTTGCTGTCCTTTTTAGGTACCATGTGCAACGGAGATGCATATGGGCTACTTGACGGTCGTATGATTCCTAAATCTATCATGTGATCGAATTCGTTTTTCGCTAACCTTAGCTTTTCAGGAGCTAGTCGTCGTGCTTTAGAGAATACAGGTGGTCCTGTAGTCGTGATGTGATGTGTAACATTCCTGGTTACACACGGTAATCTTGGTTGCGTTTGTTGTATCCCAGGGTACTTATCGAGTAGTGGTTGATAGAGTGGGTCTATCATATGTTTAACTGTGACTGGGGATACTCTACAACCAGTAAAAGAAGTTACGCAAACGGACAAATTAGTGTTTCCGTCTACTAGCCTCCGTTTGCGAGTGTCGATGATCAGATTATGGTGTTGTAGAAGGTCCATACCAATGATTGGCATAGAAACATCTGCAACAACGAAAATCCAGTGGATGGGTTTGCGTAAACCCACGTTAAGGTAAACGTACCTTTTGCCATACGTAGCGATCGGTTTTCCGTTTGCCGCCTGTAAGTTTAGGGTCGATTCGTGAAGTCGGTCGTTAGGATTTGCTGGGAGAACGCTAACTTCTGCGCCAGTGTCGACGAGGTAGCGAACTCTCGTTGTCACATCTGTGACGAATAACAGACGGCTTTGTTCGCCGGCTACGGTTGCCGTTAACGCGTGCCGGCTTGGAAGTTTCCCGAATTGCTTTTCGAATCAGTCGGTTTCGTGTTGGGAAAATTGCAGGGTTTTCTGCAATTTCTGGAAAGCTTTCCATACTGGTTATGATACCAGCACCAGTCGTGGTTATCTGTCTCTCGTGGTCTAGAGACAGATCTCTTATGAGAAATGCTTCTACTTGGTGTGCGCGATCTCTTACGGTCGTTACGAAGACTAAGATAACGCGTGAGTGTGTGACATAAGTCGTTTATATCATTCTGAGTCGTTTGAGGTTTTTCTTTGACTGAAAATACCTCGGTAGTAGTAGGTTTCGTAATTTCTAAAATGCGGTCGGCTGATGCAGCTAGCTCGTCTAAGGCGTTGTTCTGGAACGAGACCAGAACTCCTTGCACCTGTTGGGGAAATTTTGATAAGAAGAGTTGTTTGAATAGACCTTCGTCGAAAGTTCTTGGGCCTATTACCTCTCTCATCCGTCGCAATATGTCCGTCGCAGAACCGTGTTGCAGGTCGATGTTATTGAAGAGTTGATCTAAACTTTGTCGATCGGTTAGGTCTCCTCGTTTAAGAATCGAGCGTTTTAAGATTTCGTAAGGATCGGAAACATCACTAGTAAACATACTAGGTGTTACGTACCTGTTGAATTCGCGCGGTAGTGCCTTGACTACTGCGAGGAATTGTGCACGTGTGTCGATCACGCCGTGCTTCGATGTTGTCGGGCCAGAAAGGCATCAGTTGAAACGAAGGTGGGGACATGGTCTTAAGCTTGAGTACTTTAGGTGTCTGTTCAGTCATGATGAAATATGAAGTACGATAATGAACGAGGGGAAAATATATATATATCCAAGGAAAAATACGAAAAAAAATCACAATGTTTAAAGAACAAATAAAAAATAAGGCAATGATATATAAAAAATCCCAAAAAGGAACAGACTCACAGTTTCAATAAGGTGTACCAGATCACGTCAGTCTCACCAATGATGATGTCACAGGTATTCAGTGTTTGACAACGCTTATACCAGTAACACCTTCTAATATATTTCGTTCCCGCCCAGAGAAATCAAAAGACAGAGTCGAGGAGATCGGAAGAGTATATTTGACGATGACCAATATATCGGAATTCTCTGATCTAATCTGGCTAGCGATTGCGGTTGATGTTGAGCACGGCGTTACCACACGTGATCTGGTGCGGATGCCTGACCGAGCGCCTTCAGCTAGATGAGTCCACTAAAACATATGGTCAGCATCCAATGTCGAAAACTTAGTGCTATTTATTTTGGGGATTTATTTACCGCTATACAACCATCTGACATATCAGAGTTTCCCTCTAAATGATCACAATTGTCATACACTAAACTCATCGTTTCATATAACGTGTCGAACTAAACAAAATATATAATCACTTTAAAAAACTATCAAAATACCAATCAAATTAAGAAACGCTTATTAGCATGTGTTCATATATTTAACGTTGGTCATAAGACCAACAATAATATGTTCTATTGTGTAAGGCACACTAGAGAATCTGTTTGTGAAATGACCTTTAGGTCAGTGAATTCATGTTCAACAATGCAACAAAATATGACCATATTTGTAGTTTTTCAAAGCGATCTCAGTCTATTTACGTATATATAGTAAGATTAATAAATGATTCTGTTGCTCTCAACCATAAAAAAGACTGTTCTAATGATAGAACTGAGAAAACTTGGTTTTAGTTCAATAACAGTCATTTGTATTGGATACATAATACTCTGTTTTCTGAATAAATCAACCGATTCATATACTTATCATATTAATCCATCCATTGAGCTGAATGACCAACTTATTGCAAATAAAAATTATGGAAAGTTAGAAAAGATTGATTTAATGAATTACAGTGGTCCTGAAAGTTTAATTTATCATGATGGTAAGTAGTGTAGTTTTGTTTAGCTTTCTTAATTGGGAAACTATCCAATAGGTTCATTGTATGCCACAGTGATTCAAGGGAAAATATTAAAAATAAATGATTCTGGGATTTATGTTCATGCAACACTTGGTTCACCAAACTGCGGTAATATTGTTCTTTATAGCTTATAGCTTAACTAATACACCAAATATTTAGTTGGTGTACATGAATGTGGTAGACCATTAGGTTTAAAATTGTTCAACAATTCGGAGAATTTCTTGGTCACGGATGCCTATTTAGGTGTATTCTCTGTCTCGGTAAAAGATGGTCAGTTCAAAAAACAATAATAATAATAATAGTATTGATTATATTTTTGCATCTTTTAGGTAGTGTGAAAAAATTGTTCCCCTTAGATGAAGATTTCAAAGTTACATTTTTTGATGATTCAGTAATGTTACCGAACGGTAGTCTTGTTATTACTGAAGCTAGTACAAAAAATCCTTTACGACATTTATGGACAACAATTTTAGAGGGACTACCTAGTGGGAGGTAATGACAAGTTTTTCACAAATGATCTGTATTTCAGTGGTTCAATTCATATCTATTTTTAACTAGGTTTAGGATGATGATACTTTCTTCATGAATTTTGTTCTGAAATATTTAAACATTTAATACTAATTCATCAGAGCTAGTCAACGGAAAATCATCGACCTAAGTTATGTATTGGTTGGAACTCGTCGGAAACACGTGACACAAGTCTCAAGCAGCCAATTTTTCAAAGAGACAGTCTTACAAATAGACAGTGGCAAATACGTCTTTAATCATGGCATATTTGATTGTGATGCTCGGTGATACGCTTTCGGAAAACGTAGATAGAATAGACTATGTCGAAAATGCAGATATAATACCTGAATATCACTACAGGACTAGGCAATAAAATACTGTTTACTAGTCAATGATTGTTTAGTGTTGATAAAATAAGAAGTGTTCTACTTGATTTGGCATATTCCATCTGGTCTTATTAAGCATCTGTGTATATTTGATTTCCTAACTGCAGAATTTTCCATTGAGTTGTAACTAGAAGACCAAAGCAAAACATTCAGTGTTTACCAATAAATTACATGACAACAATTAAATCTCTAACCATTAAGACAAAAACGTGTTACACAGTACTAGGCATTAACAAATGTATGCTTTCTGTTCTCGGTGTCGATTTTTCTGGAGAAATTCAGCACAACTGATTAATGTTTACTAAACAGAAAATATCTTTAAAAGATTAAATGAAATATACGGTTGTATTACTGCAGATATGTGAAAGCATTAATACCTCTTTTCTTTTGACAATGAGTCAGATGGATACTTCGGTTCTAAATGTTTACAATTAAGTCTTTTAATGCTGTCAAATAACCACCAAATAACTTGATTTGGATACAACGAAACATTATTCGAATGACCACCGGGAATCACAGGATTGTATACAAATATCACATTATTCTTAGTAACGTTTATACACGTAACCACGATGTCACCGTTATATTCTGGAAAATATACCTAAAAATATACAAAACAGATATGGACGAAACAATAGACTTCAATAACTGTCAAAGATATAATAAGATCAAATTAATACGATGTACTTCAGAATCTTCATGAAATAAACTTTGAATACGCCTTCCAATCATTTGTATTTCTGGAACACGAATCCTAATTAATGTAGGTTTCTTCTTTAACTATTTCTCTAGGCTAACAATGGCTGATACAAAAACCGGTCAATACAGTCACATAATGGATGGTTTGCGCTTTCCCAACGGAATCGAAATTTCTAGTGACGGAAAATCCATATTACTCGTTGAAACAATGAAACTTCAAATTTTACGAATTCCATTGGACGGAGGTGAAGTGACCGTGTTCAGTGATGGGCTACCTGGTTTTCCGGATAATATCAAAGCCAGTCCAAGTGGTGGATATTGGGTCCCTGTATCACCTCTTCGTGACGAGCCTCTATCTGAGCTTCTACTCAATTATCTACCAGCTTATCCTTGTATTCGTCAGTTGGCTTCCAGTGTACGGTTAATAATATTCCTGCATTTTTTATAATCAATATTCTCCATCTTATTGTCACTCCATTTTTGAATTTTTTGGCAGTCGAGTAGTAAACCTAGAACAGTGTATGTAGACATTTTCAAATTCAACCAACTAATGACATGGCAGTGCAATCACATAATGGCATGGTTGACCTCCACCAGTCTTGAATTCCCAATGAAACCTACAGAACTCATTTCAGAGAAAATGAATAGGGATCAAACGATTCTATATCGGTGCCTTAGCAGGGGCAAACGCTGAGGGTTTCCACACTGCAACGGAACAACTGAGAAATGTTCCCTGGTTTTCACTGGTACCTTAACTAATGTGAATCTGTAGCTGAAGCTAATTACGAAGTAAAATAAACTTCACAATACCTTCAAAATGAATTATGATAGAGGTAGATCAGAGAATCTAGTGACACATATTAAACTTCTATGCAATTTCCCACCAAACTAAGTAAGAATTCAGTATTTCATTATTTTTTTCTATCTTTGCAACAGATTATCTCCATGCTTCCATTCACACTAATACCGAAAGGAAAATCGTCAATGTTAATTCGTTTAGATGAAAATGGACATATAATTGAAATTTGGAAAGATTTTCAAAATGAATTACCAAATGCTTGTGAAGTACTAGAACATGATGATACTTTATACACTGGAAGCTTTTATCTACCTTACATTGGTCGTTTAAGAAGATTGTCAAATTAATTTTTATAAAATTTGAAAATCTTTAGTTCCAGAAGATGAATACTGTGTAATTTGATGTTGTTGTTGTTGTCGTTGTCGTTGTTATTCATTCAGCACATTGATGATCAATACTTTCCATGTTTTGATTTGACTTATCTTTAAGACATTCATCAATATCTTGCTTTCTTATGTTTTTTCGTTGTTGTTGTTGTCGTCATTGTTGGTCGTTTGACTTAGCTATTTCTCAATATTTAATTATTCTGTACTAATTGTGTAATGTGTGAATTATTTAATCAATAATAAATGACACAATGCCATTTACATTTATTGAGTCAATCAGGTCATCTTTAATTATCTGTCTATAAATCAGTTAGCTAAAGTCGTGAATTGATATCATTATGCTTGTTAACTTGCTTATGTTACGTAATACTTGTGGTTATTGCAAAACGTTGATAAAAAGAAAATGATACAGATGTAGATTTGCTTTCTTTTTTCCAGCAGCGATCCGATCATACCAATTAATACCTAAACTAAAACTTATTTCATTTACTAAAATAGTTGTAAAATAATTATTCCAGGTACACCAATGTCAGATAATTATTTCCTTAGAAGGGAAATGAAATAAATAATTTATTATCTAAGTGGTATGCAAAGTGCTGCAACCAGTTACTCAGCTGATTACTCTAGCATTGATATATAAATATGGTGCAGCTTAAGTTTCTTTTAAATCCGTATACTCTGGTTTAATTCCAATTTACATCTTCATTTTATTGGATTTCTAATAGTGAATATTTCTTTGATACTGATAAGAGGAAAGAAAGCTCATCAAAGAGACTGAATGACAGTTACAACTTATTATGAAATCACTGAAGTTAGATAGACCATATTGAATTTGTGGATTTGCGTTTGAATAATTTACTCTACACAAAGTTTTAGGTGTTTTCTTTGGAAGTGAGAATATTGAATTTTTCATATAAATTCAATGTGCAACAATTTAAAATGTTAAAGAACCATTGTCTGTGTTCATTGTATAGAGTAAGTAGTACGTTTTAGCAGTTGAATTCACATCAACAACATTGTTGTACATGCTAATAAGGAATAATAAGAGAAAATACTTTTACATTAATAAAACTTTTATGTAATTGGTTTAGCTACAAAATTCTTAATCGATCTACTGGAGTGGATTCATCAACCAGAATCTGGAGTTATGTCTCTGGCTCGAGTATGCCATCTCATTTACAAAATAATGATGTGGACTTGACCAATAATCGGGCTAAACTGGCACAGTTAAGCTTGAGAGGTGACGGAATAATCTAACACCTACTGGTTCACCAAGAAGAAGCCCGAAGAACACACTACGTCGCGAATCGGATGCCGAAATGAAAAGGATGAATAGCATTTGGAAGGAACTGGAAGGGATTGCCCAGAACAGGGTTGAATGGAGAGTGCTGGTGGGCGGTCTATGCTCCTCCACGAGGGGTGACAGGCGTAAGTAATTATGTAAGTACTGGTCCGACAAACTCACGGCTTTCTTGTATCCCGATACTGAACCCAGTAAGAGAACAAAGCAGACGAGCTTCTATATTTCAAAGAATCATGGGTACTATATTGGAATCATCAGATCACAACACGCCCGAGGAATAAAATCCTACTCCACATATATTATCAAGCTGTAAGTGACAGAATGTGGCATAAGATGAATAATCAACCAACAACAATTAAAACATGGTGGGACATATATGAACAGTCAATGAGTCCAACCGAAGCTTATGATAAAGGAAATGCACATATATAATAATCCATTCATTTAATGATTATGCAACATATATATAGTGTAAAATAGTCCCAAAAGTTACCGTTTCCCTAATATTTATTTTGTCACAACAATATTATTCACAACCTATTCAGTTTTCTGTTGTTTGACTTTTTCCACACATGGTTATGATTTATATTCAGATTTTCCTTATTGCAATGAACTTCAGTGTTTTTTTCAACCTATGATACACTACTCATTCCCTTTTTAAGTAAACATAAACAAATTTTACTGTTGAAGCTACCTTCGATAACATTTGTCATAATGAGTGGTATTACAAATTAAAGTAGTTGTGTTTTAATCTCAGATCTAGGAAACAATGCAGTAGCATGGACAAACTCAGTAGGTATTCAGCAGGACTGAACTAACTAAGGGTACGTAATAAAGTATTTTGTTAACACACCGTGTACATATTTGTTTGAGTTAGTTAACATAGGCTCATTATTCTGTCAATCATTCGTCATTCACATTTTTCATATCACTTGATTTATGGAATCATTAGTAATGACGAAAACTTGTTGTTCACGTTTGACCTTGACTTTTCCATTAAAATTTTTATTCTGCTTCATGATGCTGATTGTCGCCCACAAACATATGACTGTTTATACAGTCTAGTTCTAATATAATCAGCTGCTATATTGACAGATCATTCATACACTTACTTACTTACTTACTTTCCTTCTTATTACTTAATTAATTAATTAATTAATTACTTATTTACTTGGCCCTCGATGAGGACCATAGTCCATACATCAACCTTCTCCATCCAACACTGTCATGGATACTCCTTTCCAGTACTTTCCAGTTGATATTCATCCTTTTCACGTTTGCTTCCAATTCGCGACGTAGTGTGTTCTTCGGCCATCTTCTTTTCCGTTTCCCCCTTAGGATTCCGAGTGATGCAGTTTGGTGATTTCCGTAATGCGTGTCCTATGCACTTCCAACGTCTTTTCCTAATTTCCTCTTCACATGGAGTCTGGTTTGTTCTCTCCCACAATAAGCTGTCGCTGATTATATCCGTCCAGCGGATATCCTGTGTAGACAACTGCTTATAAATACTTGTACCTTTTTGATGATGTTTGTAGTAGTTCTCCACGTTTCAGCTCCGCACAGTAGAACTGTCTTTACGTTCGTATTACAGACCGTGACTTTGATGTTGGCATGCAGACAGTTGTATTGAGTTCCATATGTTGTTCAACTGTAGGAATGCTGCTCTTGCTTTGCCAATCCTCACCTTTACATCTGCATCGGATCCTCCTTGTTCATCGATGATGCTTCCCAGTTAAGTGAAAGACTTCACAGCTTCCAGAGTTTCTCCATCAAGTGTGATTGGGTTTGTGTTCTCCGTGTTTTATTTGAGGATCGTGCTATTTCCTTTATGTCACATAAATTTACAGATTACATCTATTTCTAAATCAATGAGTTATATTTGATATATTACTCTGAATTAAGTGGCGGTTTTGGAATCACGAATTACATGTTAGAATTGTGAATCTGGTAGTGGCCAAATAAAACAAACTACATCTAACAAATAAAGCAGTATCTAGTTTTTTATTTGCTCACTTATAGTCTTGTATATTATGAACTGACTCTACACTTCAGTCAACAAATTAGTCTAAAATGGTGTTTTTATTAGTGATCGTTAACATATTCTGCTCGTTCACTCTTCTATCTAGCCGATTAAATAACGTATGGCAGCAAAGTCGTTAGATTCCATACCAATATGTTTTACGCAGGAACAGTTCTGTCTGTTCAAACTAATGTTGAAATAACTTTGACCATGACTAAAACTACTAAATTTTGATAGCAACCGCAGAAAACTTGTAGAAGAGAGAATAGACAGACTGGAAAGTATAAAGTTTATCAATTATTTGTAATAATATATGACAGTTTCAGCAGCTAAGTTTGATACACTTGAAATATGGATGAGGAGATTTCAATAATAATAATGATGTTCATTAACATGTTGAATAAACCGACAATTCAGTTGAAGAGAATTGTATGGAACACAGTGTAGATTGCTCATTTCCTACTACTACTACTACTACTACTACTACTACTACTACTACTACTACTACTACTACTACTACTACTACTACTACTACTACTACTACTACTACTACTACTACTACTACTACTACTACTACTACTACTACTACTACTACTACTACTACTACTACTACTACTACTACTACTACTACTACTACTACTACTACTACTACTACTACTACTACTACTACTACTACTACTACTACTACTACTACTACTACTACTACTACTACTACTACTACTACTACTACTACTACTACTACTACTACTACTACTACTACTTGTTCAGAGTACTTTGCTCAGTTCTTATTTGTTTGTGTATATGTTAATCTATGTTGTATATGTAGACATTTATTTCTTGATTTTTCGTATGTAGTCATGCTGATTGAAATTATTTTATACAGAATGAATATAAACTACCTTCAAGATGCATTTTCTGGAGTTCTAGTGATAATCCATGACCAATGGAGTCAAACAGTGTAAGTTAGAGACAGGTATCTACCTCAGAAAATGGATGGATGTTTTAGTAAATCATAAATCGATTGGAGTTAGACATTAACATCGTTGGATACCGACCGGCTCAATGGTCTAAAAATTAAGAGTTTGCGCGCAAGACTGAATGTTTTGCATTAGAATCCAACGTGTGGCATCATGCTGAGGATTCTCACACTGTGACGAAACAACCGTCCAGTGCTTTTAGAGTTTCATTGATGTTCTAGCTTCAATCGACTCATGTATTCAACCATTAAAATTAATACATTCTCTACAAACCTCATTGTAATTAATATTAGACGTATGTTTTTGTGAATTATGAAATGTCATTATGACAACATATGGTTTAAACTATCGAAACATATAATAAATATATTAATGGATAAGCTTTTCAGCTGTTATTGTAATATGAAAAATTGTATGGATTAATCCCTAATAATTTAGTAATTCTATGGAAATTTAGACAATAAAGCTACTTATAAGTGCACTCTATGGTCAGTCATATGGAACCAATATCCTAGAAGTTACGTTTAAAACATTTAACCCATTCCATAACTTAAGAAGTCAGAAGAAAAACATAATATTTTATTGGAAATTAGTGCTTTTATGATTTGAATTTGTAAATCAACTCAGTTTTTGTTCGATAGATAATAATAATAATAATAATAGTAATAAAAAAATGAAATAATATATTTGTAATATCCCAATGAGTAGAAAAATCAGATTTTCTGACGTTTCGTGTGACTCAGTGTAAGCCACTTCTCCAAAGAATAAAAAAAGACAGTCCAAACCATAACTCTACTGTGGTACAGACACTGAAATAACAGTAACTAATCAAAGAGATAATCATCTTTTTTTCATTGCCAAACTATACAAACCGATCATTTGGTTTCTTGCAGACAATGCTCATATCTAAAAATCAGAAGATTGCCTATTGGACTGTTTTTAATTCACAGCCAAACAAAATACAAATGTGCGACTCTATAACATCTTTGTTATGAAAAAGAATATTACAAAGGTCATCGGTTAAAATAAAACTGAAAATCTGTTCATTAAAGACATCATGTGAGTGATCATAAATATGCAGTTCCTTGGAACGGTCAACACTTAAGTTATCACATTC